AAAAAAAAAAAAAAAAAAAAAAGACACTGATATCAGTATGAAATCAAAAGTATTTGGTTATAAAAATAATTGGTAAATTATTTAGAAATCAAAAACTTGACTTTTTATCATATACAGGTTCCAAGCTAATTAATAAAATGTTTCAAAGCCCACTAAATAAATGTAAACCATAACAAAACTGTTAAAATGTGTTTAAAGATACTTTCTTTGCTAATCTGATAGCTTCATTTTATATTTCTGAAGTTGATTCAATCAATCATGCAATTTTGTAAGAAAGAATTTCTCATCAATTTTTATAGCATTTCTTACTCATTACAACAGAATTTTATGGAATCTTTGTAGAGATAGAAATTTCCTTACTTTTTTGAACTGCAAATATGCCACTGAATCACTAACAGAGTGCTTTCATCTTAGCCATGCTACAAAATATTGAATTGTACCCACATGCACTTCTGTGAATTGAGTTACTGGAACAAGGTTAAATAATAAGTGAGCATTGTTCTTTATTAAATGAAATAACTTATTTTACACCTTGTCTAGCAAAATGAAATCATCAACTATGCCAAGCATTACATTTTTATTTATACAGCCTTCACTAATAACTTGACTTGAATCCAGACTGTCATATTTATGTAAATCAAGTCAATGAGACTTGAGCTCCACAGAACAAGTCTAGTCTATTTGTGACTAAATGTGGACCCAATCACATGTTTAACTTCTCCAATGTATTTATTTCACTAAAGCCTTTCTTACTACAGTCCACAGTGAAGTATATTATTTTCCTTACCCAGATATCTGCCTTGGTAGTAATTGGCTTTCCTCCGTAAAGGTTGATCATTTCAGGAGCTCTGTATGATAATGTAGTATACCTAAGAGTAAATAATGGAACACATTAAATGTAATACGAACTCATTTTAAGAAGCCAGAATCTAAATTTACTAAAATAATATTGGCACAATATGAAAAAACACTAAGGGGGGGGGGAAGTGGTAAAGATAAGTCAAAGAGATATTGCTCATTTGCTTACTGACAGTGTATCAGCATAGGGTATGCTGCACTTTAGTTCTTTCATTAGTCTTAAAATGTAAAAAGAACTATCGTGTTTCCACTTAAACACAAAATCATACCATAAGGTGCCATTCCATCCCCAATGCTAGTCAACATCTACATGAAACTGCCTGGAGAGATCATCTGGAAGCATGGGGTGGGGTGTTATCAGTATGCTGATGATACCCAAATATATTTGTCTATGCCTTCAGATACAGCTTCAGCTAAGGATAATCTGTCTCCTCTGAATGAATGGGCTGGATGAGGAAAAACAAACTGAAGCTGAATCCAGACAAGAAAGAGTGCTTACTATCAAAGATCCTAACCTGGGACTGGAGGTGTGTCAACTAGTCCTGGATGGGGTTACACTCCCCCTGAAAGACCGTGTTAGCAGCCTGAGGGGTGCTTCTGGATCTGTCACTCCACATGACAGCTCAGACAGATGTGACGGCCAGGAGTGCTTACTATCAAAGCTTTGCCCGATAGCCAGCTGCACAACTACCTACAGCTGGAGGACCTAAATATGGCAGTGCACATGCTGGTAAACTCAAGGCTGAATTTCTGCAATGTGCTGTACATTGGCTACCTCTGTACCAAGTTCAGAAACTTCAGTTAGTTCAAAACACACCAACCAGATTGAATTCTGGGACACGCTGGAGTGATCACATTCACTAACATTAAAATCACTCCACTGGTTGCCAGTTAGTTTCTGGGCAAGGTAAAAAGTGTTGGTTATTAATTGCCATGCCCTATATCAGGGGTAGGCAACCTTTCCCCTTTAAGGGCTGAGGGACTTCAGCTCCCAGAAGCCTCAGCCATGTTGGCCAATAGTCCCATGTTGGCCAATAGCTCTTGGGATTCTGGGAGCTGAAGTCCCTCGGCCCTTAAAGGGGAAAGGTTGCCTACCCCTGCCCTATATGGTTTGGGTCCAGGCTACCTTCAAGACAACCTCTTCCCATACAATCCAGTCTATGCACTCAGGTCCTCTGATGGACATTTACTCCAGTCACCCAGGACTAGGCTGCCAACTGTCAGCCAGAGGGCTTTTTCTTTAGCCACCCCTAGACTATAGAATGACCTGCCAGAAGAGACTCGACAGCAGTATATGATGTCTGAATTTAAAAGAGCACTGAAGACTAGCTTCTTCCAGCAGACTTATCCAGATGATTTTTAAATCGATTTGTAGGGAGAGGCGGGAAATATAAATTATTATTATTATTATTATTATTATTATTATTATATTGTGAATTTTAAAGGACGGATTTTAGATGTGGATTGTTTTAATATGTGCACAACTTATTTGTCCTTTTAAACTGATGTGTGTTTTAACCAATGTGTTTTAACTAATGTTCATTTGTTAATTGTTGTTGCCCCCTACCTCGATCCATGGGGAGAGATGGGTAAGACATAAATATTAGTACTAATATTATGAAGGAATGGGCAGTTACAGTGGCTAATGGGGCCAAATGTTATCCCTGTAGACCTGCTACAGGCTGTAC